GGCCTGACCAGTGCCGCACAGAGGGGGAGGATCACCTCCTTGGTCCTGCTTGAAATGCATCTGTGGATGCACGACAAGGTACAGTTGGCCTTCCTAGCCGCCTCCCCACACTGCCGAGCCATGTTCATCTTGGAGTCAATAATGACTCCAAGATCCTTTTCCACCTCCATGCTGACAAGAGGGGAGTTCCCCAGCCTGTAGGTATGGTGCCGGTTGTTCCTCCCCAGGTGCATCACCTTGCACTTGTCTGTGTTGAACCCCATCCTGTTCTCCTCCGCCCATCCTTGTAACCTGTTAAGGTCCGACTGTAGCCTGTTGCTCCCTTCTATTATGCCCACATCCCCCCACATCTTGGTATCATCAGCAAATTTGAACAGGGTGCTTTGCACCCCCTCATCCAAATCACTGATGAAGATGTTGAACAGGGCGGGCCCGAGGACCGAGCCCTGCGGGACCCCACTGCCCACGTCCTTCCAGGCCAAGAAGGACCCATCCACTACCACCCTCTGGGTGCGGCTCTCTAGCCAGTTGGTGACCCATTGGACTGTGTGGGTGTCTATGCCACGGTCCCCCAGTTTCCTAATGAGAACGGGGTGAGAGACAGTGTCGAAAGCCTTCCGGAAGTCCAGGAAGACTATATCCACTGCTACCCCTGCATCCAATGATTCATTTTATTAAAAATACTTGTGCAATCAATTGAAATACAAATCCATTCAAGAAACACAGAATCAAATTAAACCTTTGGGATTGCTCATTCATGCCAATATGACAGTACATCATTAACACTGCCAAGAGTAAAATCCAGAAGACTGGCAAAGCACTTCTGCTTCTCAAAACCTAGTAACTAATTATTTTCAGATTTACAAAGAGAAAGGCTAGTTATGTATTTCCGTTTTCCATGTTCCACAATACTCACTGCGCCAAGAATGTGTGCACCCAGCATCCGGTCTGTTGATTTCTGACTAAGTATCTTCACCATGCCATCAGTATCAGCATTCGTCTTTGCTCTGCTGTTAGCAGCAAATGGAAACTTCCCGATTTTGTACTCTATCCCCTACAAAACACAGGTCCAGGTTACTGAGCTATTATTTGCTTTGCTCTCCAGTTGTAAGACTCTAACAGATGCTTAATGTTAGTGTACTACTATTGGGTCCAAAATGTAAATTAAGAGGATGGCAGTAGATCATTAGCATGAATGATAAAGCAACAACAGTTCACGTCCAAAGTAAATTGAACTAAAAGGTGCTTGGCATCATTTAAGCTGTCTCTCACCAAAGACTAATTCCAGGCTCTTGAACTCCTGCCTCGTCAACACTGGTAGGATTTCTCTTTCCATGGGAAGGCCCAAGTTCAACTCTGAGCCAACACAGACCTAGCTTTAGGACATGAATTGTTAATGAGTTCTTGAAGTATGCTGGGGAAAACTATTTTTTTCATTAGGTGGAGGCAGTCAGTAGGGAGTGGTTAGATCAGATTTGATTCTAACTAATAGGGAGGAACTTGCTGAGACCTCGAAGGTGGAAGGGATCTTGAAACAACAGGCTCCTGATTCTATTAAGAGAAAAGTGTGGGCACAGCAGCATAAAGACAAATAAAATCTGAGAGAA